CCCTGAAAGTGTGTACGATCTATTTACCAATACTTGAGGCTACCTCAGTCTCGAACCCTGAGCACCCACAAATGGGGAAGAACAGCAAGAACATGGAGTCGCGACTCTCACCGATGATGATATACTCCTTGACTTTTTTGTCATGGGGGACCCCCAAAACTACCTTCCCATTCGGGTATGGGTCAATACCTATAGATACCATTTTTAATGGGATGGACATCCATTCATTTACCAGCTATTTTGATGTGGTTTTACAGGGGTACTATTGGTTTTGACACACATAGCATATATAGGAAGCCTCCAGCATGATGCAATGTACTCAGTGAAGTATGGGAATGGCAGGAACAGAGCTCTAGGGGTGGCACCTGAAGGTACTTCATTCGTAAATGACCAGGTTGGAAATACCACTACTTTGGGAGTTTGGTGTCATACTATGTCATACTATGTCATACTATGTCATACTATGTCATACTATGTTATTATTCAATATGAAAAGCTTTTAAACAGGTGTTAGTTTTCGTTTGTTGTACCGTCCTATGCGTTGGCTATATCAACTTCACTGTTGCTTTCCATCATTCCCCTGTTTGTTGGGAAGCGTCGTCCTTTGCTGTGATCGCATGGCCTATTGTTTTCATAATTGTACCTCTTCCAACATGCTGATCCCATTTGTTTTTTGTCAGTTGCCAACCACATTATTCCAAGCATCAGTGACAACAGCAATTCATGCTACGAAAATCACATTTTGTCAGTTGCCAACCACATGATGACATGATGATACTGTAACACACCATCACTTTACATCATCGATGGCTTCAACTCCTCCCATTCCTGCGATGCTTCTCACTTTGCTATGGAACCGTGCCATTGTTAAACAGAACCAGGGGACTGTGGGAGTGCAATTTTTCTGCACGTGACTTAGCTTTAAAAACCTCAAAATTTTTACGAATCACAAACCACGTGAATGAGCTTTTCAAACCTCAACCTATAGGAAACATAAACCAAAAACAGAAACAACAAAAACCAAAAGAACAATAAACAAGAAAGAACCCTATGTCTCAACCACTCATGGACCACCCATTGACCTTTTTCTTTTTCCTTTTTTTCGTTTTCTCGGTCGAGGTTTTTGCAACTTCTGCTCAAAACTGCCAAAACCAATGGATATATAAATCGAAGAAGCAAAACAACCTAGAAAACTAACCCTATGTTCCAACCACTCATGGAACTCCATTGTTTTTTTTGTCTTCGGCTTCATTCAACATGCCAAATCCTTTCTCCTCTTGTCTTCAAGTCTACTTTTCAGGAACAGATTGTGCCCCTCTCAAGGACATCATCCAGGTGTTGGTCTTGAAGAAGTGATGTATTTCCTCAAAAGAAAATGATCGTACGGAACAAATGAGAGGAAGGGTGAACTTCATTCAAGGATACATTGCACAGTTCCACACATTATAATTTTCTGGCAAGAATATTGCTCCTTATTTAAGGGGAATATACTGTCTTCAGGGCAGATTGTAACCTGTAAGCAGCATTTTTCTTTAACAATTCCAGTATCTTTCTTTTTGAAGGGATGCTGCAATGTGCATCGACCATTGCACTCTCTTGACAGCAATACTAAATGTTATATATGATGTAGGTATCTGGTGTTTTGACAGAAATAATGTATGATTGAAGGCAGGCTTAATATCATACTTAAAGGAAGACTGTCAGAAAGGAACACTACTTCTTGAAAGAAGTAGTACATCGTCTTGAAGGAACACTGCAGCTTTTGTTTGAAATGTAGATTCTGAAATGAAGACATCATTTTTACCAAGGGAACACGATTTTTTTGTAGATGACTGCCTCATAGTTTGCATGGGTTATTAATTGGCATGTGTAGCAATCTCTCCATACGGTCTCCCTCCCATTGACTATTTGTAGTTTTTACATGTTTTTACTGTCTTTTCTTCTGGCCGGTGGCACCTTCATTTGAATGAGAATTTTGACAGAGACACTAGGCACGATGATGTTTATGAAGAAATACAATCAACAACATTCTCTAAAAACCAACAAAAGAGCGCACTCCCACAGTCTCCTGCTCTCTTTTTAAACCGGTACCCTCTGGTAATTTAACATAGCTATTGAAAATCACAATTTTTAATGGGAAAATCCACTATTTCAATGGTCATTTTCAATAGCTATTTTGACATAACCAGAGGGTACGTGGAATTTTTCTCACCGGGTCATTTTCCAAAGTGCTTGAGGGTTTTGGACATATCCAATGCTCAGGAAATAAGTCCAAGGTGCGCCCGAGTCGATGGGGAACCTGAAGATTCCACCCGTTTTGGGAAGAGAATCAGCAAATCACAGGCTTTTTTCTGAAGAAACATGACCGGTCTCATTTTTTTATGTGGTTTCTGTTTGACCCAAAAAACCATAAAAAAACCCCTATCTACCCTCAGATGTTGGTCGAAAAAACATCGCCAGGAACTAAAGTGACTGCGAGGCCAATGGCCGGGCCATGTGATTCAATCTGCGTTAGGGGAACCATCCCCAGCATGAACTTTTCAGGTTGATTGATGCTTTTCCAAACACAGATTCGTATGATTCGTGACATTTAAGGCTGTTCGCGAGTGGAGCTCTGCACTCTGCACGGCTTGAGTGGACACAGATTGAACATGCGGCAAACGTCTTTATAAAATGCAGTAGCCGAAGCTATTCTTGGCCACGTCTGGGAGTGATCTTCGATGGTCGATCTTCGTATCTCCAATGACTTGGTCAAGCAGTTAGAATAATTTCTCGATCCTTGAGACGTGCTCTGAGTCGCCTGTGAATTCCAGTGCATGACTATCCCTAGAAAAATCGACCATGGCTCTGGGTTTGTCTACCCCAATTCCAATGGATGATGATCATGTTTTTCCTCATATAATTCCCACTAAATGGTCATTTGGGGGGTATACCATGGTATACCCCAGTTCAGACACACCCATCTAGAGATGGTAACTGGCAGTAGGACTTAGACATCGCACTCTGCTTAACTCCAGAGGATTTTTTTCATATTTTTTCTCCCTTCGGCAAGAGCTAAGAATCAGATTTTGCACAGGAATGGTGTCAAAAAGATGTGGTGGTTTCCCCAAAATGGGTACCCCCAAATCGTCCTTAAAATTAGACAATTTTGGTATTGAAACCTATAGTTTTGGGGATCCCCCATTTTAAGAACCCACCATATTGGAGCCCAAACTTCAAGTCTAATATCTTCGCCCACCGTAGAGACGTCCATGCTGGTGCGTTTTTTGATGATTTCTGCGTTCCTTTCCTTCGTATTTCCAGTGCGTTTGGGGAAAATCGTGTTTTCGAGTGTCATCTTGCTTTTAGTTGATCCAAAATTGAGGGTCTTTGTGTTTCGCTGTAGCGAAATGCACGCATCTATTTTCTCTTCGCATATGTATCGGCTACCAAGCCAATTTTCAATGGACTTGTATTTATTTGCTTGTATGATCATGCAACAGCAACAACACATAATAAAACGTAATTAAATATGTATGTCAACCTTACTCTGCAAGAAGGGCAGCATTGCCAGTTTCATTGCGCATCTTCGTCAGCGTCTTTGCCGTCACTTGCGCAACAATCTGATTTCCATGCCCAAACCTCCACTGCCTTGCTTTGCAGGAGGTGAAGCGTTCGAAAGACGTGTCTAGCGTAGCATCAAGTATGTGTGCAAGCATACAGAAAAGGTGTAGCGTCGCATCAAGTATGTGTGCAAGCATACAGAAGACCTGCCTAGCGTCGCATGGAGTATGTGTGCAAGCAAACAGCAGAGGTGTGTGGCATAGCATCAAGTATGTGTGCAAGCGTGCAGAAAAGGTGTAGGGTAGCATAAAGTATGTGTGCAAGCGTACAGAAGACCTGCCTAGCGTCGCATCAAGTATGTGTGCAAGCGTACAGAAGACGTGTCTAGCGTAGCATCAAGTATGTGTGCAAGCAAACAGCAGAGGTGTGTGGCATAGCATCAAGTATGTGTGCAAGCGTACACAAAAAGGTGTAGCGTAGCATCAAGTATGTGTGCAAGCGTACAGAAGACCTGCCTAGCGTCGCATCAAGCATGTGTGCAAGCGTACAGAAGACCTGCCTAGCGTCGCATCAAGTATGTGTGCAAGCAAACAGCAGAGGTGTGTGGCATAGCATCAAGTATGTGTGCAAGCGTGCAGAAAAGGTGTAGCGTAGCATCAAGTATGTGTGCAAGCGTACAGAAGACCTGCCTAGCGTCGCATCAAGTATGTGTGCAAGTGTACAGAAGACCTGCCTAGCGTCGCATCAAGTATGTGTGCAAGCAAACAGCAGAGGTGTGTGGCATAGCATCAAGATGCATCAAGTATGTGTGCAAGCATAGAGAAAAGGTGTAGCGTAGCATCAAGTATATTTGCAAGCGTGCAGAAGACCTGCCTAGCAAGTATGTGTGCAAGCAAACAGCATCAAGTATATTTGCAAGCATCAAGTATGTGTGCAGAAGACCTGCCTAGCGTCGCATCAAGTATGTGTGCAAGCAAACAGCAGAGGTGTGTGGCATAGCATCAAGTATGTGTGCAAGCGTGCAGAAAAGGTGTAGAGTAGCATCAATGAAGTATGTGTGCAAGCGTGCAGAAGACCTGCTTAGCGTCGCATCAAGTATGTGTGCAAGCAAACAGAAAAGGGTGTGTGGCATAGCATCAAGTATGTGTGCAAGCGTGCAGAAAAGGTGCAGCGTAGAATCAAGTATGCGTGCAAGCGTACAGAAGACCTGCCTAGCGTCGCATCAAGAATGTGCGCATGCAAACAGAAGAGGTGTGTGGCATAGCATCAAGTATGTGTGCAAGTGTGCAGAAAAGGTGTAGCGTAGCATCAAGTATGTGTGCAAGCGTCCTGAAGACCTGCCTAGCGTCGCATCAAGTATGTGTGCAAGCGTACATAAGGCCTGCCTAGCGTCGCATCAAGTATGTGTGCAAGCAAACAGAAGAGGTGTGTGGCATAGCATCAAGTATGTGTGCAAG